ATTACGAATCGTGTAAAATGTGTAGTTTTTTCTTGATTTTTATACTTAATTTAAAAAATGTTTTTTTCAGTTATACCTTAGTTATTTATTAATAATAATGTCTACTGCTAACATTAATTTACTCATATAGCCGATGTTTATATAATATTGAAGTACTAAGTAGTATCAAAGGCGTACTCTTAAAATGTTTTGGATTTAAATGTGTTAAAAAAAWTAAATTTATCTTTCTTGTTATCTAAATTKTGTTATCTTTTATCTTWATCTAGATAMATTTTTGCCCTGTTATCTTTATCTTTATCTAGATAAAAAAGTACTAATCTAATCCCAACACTGTTTACAATAAGCATATAAGCTGAAATTACAATGATTATATGAGTGCGCGAGGTGAGTAGCAACCCAACAGTAACACTCGACATGATATTTAAGGTTATTTTATATTATGTACATTTTACATACTTAAGTATATGTTTTTTTTTCTTGTTATTATTTGATTATTGAAGTAAATAACAAATTTAGCTAGCTAAACCAAGACACCAGCGTCTCTTTAATCTTCTCGGTGAATTACCTGGAATGTTTGCGGAGTTGAGGGCGAGAATAAGTGGGTTGGGATGGTTTGTAAGGCGAGAGCGGTACCGCTTGTAGGAGGATGTGGCCACAAAGATATWATAATAATATATTTTTATTGAATCATATTTTGTTGATAATAAATATTCTTTCTTATCATTTAAAATTAAATTTTTCAATCTATTGTTGAAAACTTGAATGGTTATCATTAAATTACTTAAAAACAAATAAAAGTATAAAACTTTAAATTTAAACATGAAATATATGAATGATACTAATATTTTTCCAATTCACATTTTTCAATTATTATTCCAAAACAAAATATAATGATTAGACACGTACAATTATTAATTTTATAATATTAATGTAAATTCAATGTATAATGGCATTAGTAATAACATAGTAAGTAATTAATTGATTAAATTTCTCATATAGGTACCTATACTATAGTTTACGATCAAGTGAGACTTCAGTACTTAAATATAAGATATATTAAATATATTACAGTGACGGTTAAATACATTAGTGTTGCAGTGACCAAAATCATTCTCTTAAACTTAGGCGAATAGAGATTAGCCTTCGTCCAAATCAAATAAATCAACATTTTTTATAGGCAATAGGAATTAGGAACCCTGTTCCCAAAACCATAATATTTTTTATTTTTTTTTAATTTTGGCACAATTTTTTGTTATATGATGTTAAGTGTTTACAAGGAGTATTTTTTTAAAATTTTTTTGTAAGGAGAACCCGTGGCAAAATAGGCCATTGGGTGTGGGGGTACGGTAGGGGTTATTTTTGTATATTTGTTTGTAGGTTTTTAAGTGGGTAGGGTTGTAACACGTGTTTGTGTATGTGTGGCAAGGACATGTTGCTAAAAATCCCGGATGGGTGACCAGCTAGCAACTGCGGCCGGTACAAGTGCGTTTCCGCAGATTGAGCGTACGACCGCGCCTCACCAAGCCACACAAGGAGTATTATATGAATACTTACTGTGCATAAAAAAAAACATGAGAATTTTTAATTTTTAATTTTTAATTGTATAGTTAATAGTTATATAATATAATGATTCGGATTATTGAATAAAAAAAAAATAAATAAATAAATGGGTTGTTTTCAAACGATACAATAACGCAATAACCATAATTGATATACTTTTAGAAGGTAAGCTGTAGACAAGTCGAGAGTATAGTGTCTACGGTGTAAATTTTATTAAAAATACGTACAACTAACAATTTTAAGTATCCATGAATTGGTTCAAAATGGCTCAACTCACAACTTTCCAAGTATTATTTTTTTATTTCACTCTGCAATGATATATGTAGCTATTTTATAGTTTAAATTAATGTAAGTATCATCATATTTATAATTCATATGATAATTACATGTAATCATATCGAAATAGAGATTTG